TTCACAAATCTTCCCAAGCCATGTGTCATTACTTTTACACCTTCACATAGACAATGTATTAACATGGTCCCAATGTCCTCAAACGAGTACTTCATAGTTAGAAGCCTCCTAACTTGTTACTATTGCTAAAAGATGTCAAATTTATATACCATCTCAAACTACAGACATTAAAAAGCATAAATTAGCAGGTTTCAACCATGAAATGTTTTTAGGTTTTGTACCTTGTCCATTTTTATTTCGGGCTCGGCCGTAGAACATCTTGACTGAGATTGACGCCATCTTGGAATTATAGTAACACATGTAATGTGCTTTTCCTACCACAAGATGGTGGTAAAAGTGTCTACATACGAGGACAACAGGTCTAAGTTGAGAAGAAATGAAGTGTATATGGTGCAGGAAACCCAAAATGTGCGGTTCTCATATGAGGACGCAGGGACTCTAGAGGTTAATGATTTCTTGTACGGCCCGGTACCAATTGATCCACGGACCGGTACCGGTCCGCGGCCCGGGGGTTGGGGACCACTGCTGTAGGACACCTAGATAAACTGGGGAGCTCATTTTCTGTCCACAGTGGCAAGCGGTCCAGGTCCAGAGGCAGCAGAGCAGCCCCACTTCATGATGCTCCTCCACTGTGCTTCACTGCTGGGATGATGTTTTCATGTTGGTGCACGGTTTTCTTTATACACCATATGTAACGCTGTGTGTTCTTCCCAGACAGCTCTACCTTGGTTTCATCTGTCCACTGGACATTTTCCTAGTAGTGCTGTGGAGGTCAGGGTGGTCTTTGGCAAACTTCAGGCTGCTACAGTGTTGTTTTTGGTGAGCAGTGGCTTCCTCCGTGGCGTCCTGCCATACCAGACTGTGATACAGCGGTAGAAGTTCACCAGGATGGCTGAAGACAGGTGGCTGAATATCTAACGTCAGTGACTCTGTGACCCTTTTCCAGCTACATGCAAACCAACAATTCTTGGTCATAGGTCTTCTGAGATCTCTTTTCTGTGAGGCCTGGCTCACATCAGCCGATGCTGCTTGTGAACAGCACACTGACACTGAGTGTTTCTATAAGTCCTGGTCGTTCTAAATCACTCCTCCGTTCTCATTTCTTTGACTGGACGGTCGGCGTCAACCCGGGTGAAGTACGGGGTTTACTGCTCGTTAGGTTCCCATAGTGGAAATGCAGAGATACATGTGACATAGCCAAGTAACATAGCACCACACATACATGACACAGGTGTGTAACGATAAAAAAATATATCACACGTCACGGGGCAGTAGTCCGAGCAGAGCCTCCCAGACTTCCCTCTCCCCACACACCTCCTCTAGCTCCTCAGGAGGAACCCCAAGGCGTTCCCAGGCCAGCTGGCAGACATAGTCTCTCCAACGTGTCCTGGGTCTGCCCCGAGGCCTCCTTCCAGAGGGACATGCCCAGAATACCTCCCCAGGGAGGCGTCCAGGGAGCATCCTAAACAAGTGGCCGAGCCACCTCAACTGGTTCCGCTCAACGTGGAGGAGCGGCGGCTCTACTCTGAGCTCCTCACGGGTGACTGAGCTCCGCATCCTATCCCTAAGGGATACCTCTGTCTTTATCTATTATATTTTAATTTTTGCCAGGCAGCGTGTATTTCAATAAAGGGCAGCCCCAGCCAGTAGGTTGTCATCTTCTCCTCATTTCGGTGTGCCAAGCAGCAGTTTGCTCAATACTTCCCCTTGTGGTCAGGGGTGGGGGTGGTGACGCTGTCCCATGCATGGAGTTACATTAAGGTTGGTATTTGCAAAGTGTGAAATGAGGAGAAAAGGACAACAAACCCTCTAGGACAATCCTGTGATATTAATATGTTATTAAAGAGACAACACAGAATCTTTCAGATGAGAAGGCTGATATCAGCTTGTCTTCCTCCAACAGATACACAATATGGCCAAATGTACGTGGACACCTCAGTCCACACACTTTTGCATAGTTTGTGTTTAATTAGATTTTCTTCATTTCATATGAAATCCTATTTATTATCGTCTATGTCGAGACTGTTTTCATCATGACTCCAGTGATACAAGTTCTATAGCCAATTTTTAAAGCCTAGTTACTTTTCACCCACCCTGTAGAAATTATAGTCGCACTGAAGAGCCGACTGACAAAATGCTCAGTCGAGTACAACCCTATATGTGACAGCTGTGTAACCTAACACCGCACAGCTGTGCACAGGTAACATCATACGTAAGTACATAAGTAACAGTTTTATTTATTTATTTATTTATTTTAATTTATCACCTCCTCTGCTGAAGTCGCTCCCCCTCAGGAACTTTGAAAAGGAACTTCCTCTTGCTGCGAGTTCGAACCATTGACTTCCTGCTGTGCTCCGACATCTCTGGGATGGTGAGGTCTCCCTCTGAGAACAGACAGGTAGAGTCAGACAGACAGACAGGGAGACATTAGCTTCAGAGTTGTGGAGGTCCGATGTCACTGTCCAGGTGTGTGTGGCTGTTACCTGATGAGGTGTTACTGAAGTAAATCAGATGAGGAGGTTCTGAACTCAGCAGATTTAACGTCCCTTCAATATTCAGAGGTCTGATCTGAGGACAGAGGCAAATCAAGGCTTTTAGGCAAGTCCTACACTGTGATTGGCCCATTCCTGGCTGTGCTGTGATTGGCTACCTTTCGAAGGGAGATGGTCTGAACCCACTCTGTGGTGAGAATATCAAAAACATCAACTCCGTATTCACTGTAGACCGTCAGGTGTGACGAGTTAGAGCCTGGAGACAAGGGGGAGGGGTTTCACATCTGTATGCCTGTTACATAAATACCTGTCACTCACAGCTGACTGAAACTTCACAGCTGCACCTGCTCTGAACTGTTCTGCATTTGCTTTCACATGAAAACTCTTCACAAGTTTTCCTATGAGTAACGTACTGCATGCGAGTGGTGAAGCGGGCCACATCAGCTCCTGGGTCCGAGACCGACGGCCCTGACCATCCACGTAGATGCCAAGCTGGCTGAAGCAGAGCAGCAGCTCATTGGTTCCAACCTCCAGGGCGTGCAAAGCGTCCAGCGGCTGCTGGGCCAAGAAGGCCAGGGACGGGTCGGCAGGGTTCACCAGGCTGATGGGAGATGACTCCCCCTGCAGGGCCAACAGAGCGAAGCCCGAAGGATACCCAACACAGAGCCGCTCCCTCACCATACCCAACCACTGCACAACAGCTGGAGCCTGAACCTCCCACAGCTTCTTATTGTGGGGCTTTGCTCGAGTGATCTCGTAGCACTGAACCTGGAGGGAACAGACCAAACCAGAACATCATGATCAGAACCAGAAATGCAGAAACAGAGCAGTGGTTTTTAGCTGTCTGTCAGGTTTCTGACCTGGCGTTTAATGGCAGCCAGCAGGCAGGCGGGGCCTCCAGGTCGGAGTACCCCTGTGACCAAAGCCTGGCAGCCTTTGGTTTCTGTCAGCTTGATATCAAAGGCAGCCTCTGCGCCCTCCAGGACCCCCCAGGGGTGAAGATGAACATGCCGGTTTCGACCGCAAAGCAGAGCGATGATTTTCTCCTTCGGGATCAAGTCGACCTGATAAACTTTCTTACTGTCAACTGCTCGCAGGATCACTGGAGAGAAAAGTTATTTATTGACCACACAGAGAAAGGTAGACATGTTGTTTCTGGAACATAGACACACCAACCTTTCACTAATCCACCCTACTGAGGAAAAACTATCATGGAAAAACATCAAACTTCCACGTGTTTATTAATCTACTGCTGTGGTATAACACATGCCACTAAAATGAAAAACATGATTTTAGCTTCTCTGAACTTCTCTCACCATCTCTGGTGACCTCAACCACAAAGAGTCCATCTTCTGTTCCCAGGACAATCCTCTCCCGGTCTGCAGACAGAGGATGCGTATTTAAAAAACAAAAAACGGCCAGAGAGCTCTCTGAAGCTATAAACTAGATCCAAACTAATCATAACAAGACATCTACCACGATCAGAGCTTCAGAGAACTACAGAGTACTTCACTCCGTCAGCAGCAGTACTCAGTACACAGTCTGTCAGTAGTACATGGCAGAAGTTAGTAGCATTGCCTACCAAGCACTGCGGCAGACAGTGTGGTCTTGATGATGGGGAGTGAAGGGTCGTAGGCCTCATGCAGAACATGCACCTGCTGGCTCTTCAGCAGATTCTTGGCCAGGATGATCCGCAGACCTTCCAGGATCCGAACCCACTTCCTCTTCTCCACCTCGCTCTCCGCCAGGACCAGCAGAGAGACAGAGGAGAGCTGCGAGATCAGCTGCGATGATGCCACCTGATCATGACAACAAAAGCAACCACAAGGTTCAGGACCTACCAAGGTCAAAGGTCAAACAGGGTCTGAGGGGATGGGTCTCCTACCCTGAAGATACAGGGGATGTCCTTCCTGGTGGCGTGGATCACATCTGATGCCAAGACAGAGCTGACAGAAAACTCCTCATCTCTGAAACACACCAGAATATTTTCCTGTATCAAACAATTGATACAAATCACACAAAATAATCAAATTGTAGTTTAAGAGAAAAACCGACCCTAACCCATTTAAAAGAGCCTGAACCTTCACAGGACTGCCCAAACATCCTAAAAACTACCAGAATCTTCTCAAATATCCCTGCATTTGCTCAGACATCCTGACATGAGGTGAGCAGACAGGTGGACAGTTTACCTGAGGTCGAGGACCAGACTGGCGACCACCCCTGGCTGTGTGGACTTTCCCTCTGGGATGTCGTAGAGAAACAGTTTACAGTCAGACACCACAGCAAACGCTCGCTGCCAGCCCTTCTTCACCCCACTGGGCTTCGGGATCTGCCAGAGAGACATTGTCTGCTATTGTGGAACTACTGTGTCAGTACTGCATCAGTACTGCATCAGTAGGTCCTTAATGGTCTTACCCTGACGTAGCCCCTGTAGGCGGTTCCAATGCCCCTCTGGACGTCAATGCCCTGTGGCCTCTTGGCCTGCTCTGCTGGGATCGGACAGACCAAGGGGGCGTGGTCTTTACAGGACACATGGCAGATGAAGGAGCACACTGCAGAGAGATGCAGACACTTAGACCAGGAGGTCTACCTGTTGTCTAAAACACTGCTGCAGAGCTTTTGAACCAGAGTTCAACTAAACAAGACTGAGGTTGTAGTTCCTAATTAATGGAACTCTCTCCCTTTGGATTTAAGGTCAGGACACCTTTAAAAGTCCTGACTGTCCTGATCAATTGCTTTATTTACTTCAATTTTTCTGAAGTCTGTGTTTATGTTCAGTTTCCTTGCTTTCTATTGTGAAGTACTTTGTGACACTCTTCTCCTGAAAGCTACTTTATGCACAGTTACATCAAAGCTGTATTAACTAACTTCTCCCTCAAAGTGAGAGTCAAATCCAACTCCAGCACTATCCCCCTCCACTTCTCCCCTCCTCCCCTGTCTCTGAAACTACGTCATATGTGGTCACGACAGCCAGAGACAGTTGTGGTAGTCAGGTAGCGCAGCAGTAATAACTGGCTCCAGAACTAATGTATACAGAATATAAAGCCCGTGGCATTGCAGCATGGAGACAACTCTTCTAGGCAATTGTTTACTTGATTTATCCAAATTTGTTCTAAATCTTAATGTAGCTTTGAGCTACAACTCACTCCATCCGATTACACAACGAGATAGAATTAAACTGTGTCAGTCTGCAATGTACTGTAAAGTGTTTTGCTGCCACTCAACACAACACAGTAGCAAGTGTGAGCTGCAAGTGGAATGTTCACCGTGTGTCGTGATTTTGGTATGTGTTGTATTCAAGATGTGGTGGTGAGTTTGGGATGTGTTGTGTGCTCAACGTGCGCTTGGGGTGTGTTGCAAGTTTGAGGTGCATTGTGAGGTCGAGGTGGCGTACCTTCGCAGGCATATCCTTGTCTGATGAGTCCCACCATCAGCGAGGTGCAGTGAGTGCACTGAGTCGGACTGGAGAACGTCTTGATGCTCAGCTGGTGAGCTCTCGGCTGTAAACGCAAAAACACACATTACATTATTTTAAGAAAGGTTTGTTATAACACAGGTAACGTCCCACCTAGAGAAATCCTGCTGTACCTGTGGTGTAGTCAGGGCTGAGCCCTTGGGGGTGGGGGAGGGACTTGCAGGGACTGGTGCGACTTGATCTTCCTGTTGACACAAACAGGACAGGACTCAGTCTGATAAACAGAGACAAACACAAACAACCTGTGTGAGACTGACCTTGAATTCGAAGGTGGTGGAGGGTGAGAAGGGTATGGTCTCTGATTCCTGGAGGGCGGAGTCTATGTCTGGGGTCTGCAGGTAATAAAACATTTTGAAGAATCATTAAACATCAAATACTGTTGACAGCGTTAAACATCAGAGGTTTGTCTTTTACATGGGATCAACCAGGACACGCAGACTCTTCGATTTCACTGTGTTTCATGTGATTCGTCAGACTGACGAGGTTGTGTTGTGTTCACGTCATGTCAGGAAATAGCAGTGTATTGTTTCATACATTATTCCAACACAGACACAAAAAAAGACAACTGAAATTTGTTTTCTGTGATTCACAAATAAACATTTACAATAGGGATGTCAACGTTAACGTATGATTAATCAAAATTTTTTTAACGCAAATTAATCATTTGATAAGTTTTGACCCCAACTTCTTGCCGTCATCGCAGCGCGGATGGTTATCTATTGTGTGATAAGGCCGGGTAACGTGACAGCGAACGTGTGTTACAACACGATGGCAGAAAACACAACGCCTGGTGTGCTGAGCAGCAAGTTTCATTATAAAAAGCTTCCAGATGGAAGTTTGGATAAAACCAAAGTTGTGTGCATTTATTGTAGTGATGAACTGTCCTTTCACCGAAGCACAACAAGTTTGAAGTACCATCTTCGGGCCAAACATATTTTGGCAGATGTTATAAAGATGCCAGTGCTGATACAGCATCAACAAGTCGTGCTCTTTCATCTGAAAATGTTAATAAGCTAGTCTGTCTGAGCATCTGGCTGAAAGAAGAGTATATTGTATGATTGGGTAGCAGGACGAATGTTGCCTAGATGAACAACGTAGAGACTGTTCATTTTGTCTCTGTATGGACATTTAATTTCTAAAATAGACCTAAATTGAAATGTTAATTGTTGAGATAACTGGAGGATCTGTTTCCTTAAACTAGTTTGACATGCATTTCTTTATTGCAACACATTTACAGGTAAATCATGGTATTTTAAATTTGTGATTAATCACAACACCACTGACACCAGTGTTTGTGTACCACCACATAGGAGACTGTGGTGTTACATATTTGTTTAGTTAACAAGTGGTTTAAATCTTATGAATGACCTGGATTACAGCTAATATTTTATCCCCAAGTCAAACATTTATGCTGCCTGTAACCATCTTGGCTACTCATTATTACAGTCTAAATAATGATTGTACAGGGTTTGAGTCGTCTCCTATTATGTTGTACCATTTAGTTTTATCCTAATCACTTTTAGTTTGCACCGCTATGCCCGTGATGGCGGCGTGCATGCACGCAGCTGTTTTACGATGGCGTCACTTTTGCATAATGCAGAGAAGTGGTAGCATGTCATGCATATTTATAAGCCGATGGTTTGCACACCAGCTGTAAGCAGTTTAAACAGTGTCTTTAAGTCAGAGGATGTTAAAGTATAAACACAGAAACCGTTTTATACGTTATTTCCCATCCCTTTTAACCATGGTCTGACCCAGAATGAAGGTGACTCACTCTGAAGGTGAGGTCTGAAGCAAGGGGGGAGGTGTTGAAATACTCAAAGATGGAGTCCTGGAAGTCTGGAAGCTTCAGACCTGCAGAGACAATGAGTAAAATAAGTAACTAGGTGATGTGAGTTAAAGCCTTAATAACACGTAAACATCTATACCAGCAGGTAACAGCTCAGGTTTCCCTGTTCTGAACTGAAATTTTGTTTCAGTGGCCAATGTGTTAGTTGAGCTTAGCTTCAGCAGAGGCAGTGGTAGGATGAGTGTAAACACTATCAACTACAGCAGTGCCCCAAACCGCCAGTGATCAGTCGCATTTTACAACCAAATGACTTTTTTCAAAGGTCGCACCGGGTGCAACTGCAAAATAAACAGGTTATGCACAAACAACTGCTCTCACTGTAGAAGTGGTGGACAGACGTAACAAACTCCGGGATACTGTCATTGCAACTTTATCTGCAGATCTGTCAATCATCCATTTCACAAAGCAGGAACTTCCAATCTATCAAATGTGTCGGGTCACACGCCAACCCTGGACCCCTTGTTTACACGTCATGTCTTTTTCCTTTGGCGAATTTGAAGTATAATCACCACAGACAGCTGCTTAAACAGGTAGATCACCTGCTGGCCTGTTTATGTGTTGGAAACTTGAATCTCTTCAGGTGAGCTCTCTGATCTTACTTTCCCCTGGTCCAAGACTGGGAAATGAATAAAATAAATAAATCAGAGCATATAAACGCTGCTGATTTCTTGCTGAGGAGCCAAGATGAAAACTATTTTTGTCCGGTACATTTCTGCTGTCGGTCGGCCCGGTGAAGAGCACGCTGTCCTCCTGCTAACAAACAGCTGTTCTGATGACAGATGCTGCATGGAGGTGTGAGTCGGGGTGGACTGAACAGATCAAGCACTTAACGTGCAGTTCCAGTTTGAAGTTAGTAGCTGAAACGCACCAACAATCCTTCTTTAAGTTGCAGGCTTTAGCCCACAGTGAGCGGCATCAGCAGGTGAGAGAGCTGACTGTGCATCAAGTCCAACACAGACAGCACCAAAGAGCAGAAATTCTTCTTCAGAAGAAAAACGGACTAAAAATAAATCATGTGCACAGATGGCAAACCAAGCATGCAATTCATTGGTTTATACTTCAGTTGAAATATAATATCAGTTGTCATTGTCATGTTGATGACTATAGAGCACTAAAGTGACTGGCCAACAGAAAAATAGGAGGAAACTTGTTCCAGAAGTGATTTTTCTCATTCACTGTGTTCCACAGGTCTCCTTCTCTCTGAGTTTCATTATAAACACACGCTATGTGCATTGGGTGGTAAGGATATTTAAAATAATGTTTGAAAATTAGATTCTTTTGCAACACGTTGTAAAACAGAGGTGGTGCCACCAAATCTGGCACTGGTGCAGACTTGGTGGCGCCGGTGGCACCAGTATGAAATGTTCGTCTGAAGGCCTGTACAGTCACCAGTGCACAAGGAAATGTGCCAAAGACTGGGTGAGTATTCTGACTGAACTCCATGTTCAGGTTAAATTGATTGATTGATTGATTGATTTATTCTTTCAAACAAGAGAGGCCTCCGTCCATATCTCCATCCGTATCACCATACGTATCAATCAGGAAGTGAAATCAATTAAAATGGAAGATAAGTTCAGAAATTAATGAAATAAACAACAAATAGACCGATCTAATGGCAGAAATTGATTCATTAGTGTAGTAATGACCTGAATTTTAAAAAAAGTGCAGCAGAAAAATGAAGCCATTGCAGCTGAAGGAGGCATCCAGGTGTTTCATGGCTTTCAGCTCAGTGAGTCTAATGTCACCTGTGTGGCTGTGAACCCAGGGACCAGGTACCACCCTCACCTTTGTCAGAGTGGGATCGGCTCTCCTCCATCTCCTTCTTCAGATTGTCCACCTGCTCCCCCATCTCCCTGCTCCTTTCCTCTGACTCCTTCAACTTACTGCAGACACACAGGTGAGACAGAAACACACAGGTGAGGCCAATTAACTACACATCATGCAGTAACGCTGTCTTCCGATTGGAGCATTAACTTCATTAACAGCTGAGTTTGTCTGCAGGTTGGCCTGTCATCAGTTTTATAACAGAGGTCAACCTGTAGGGTTGAACTAAGTTAATCCATCAATAATCACTAATCAAGCAGCCTGTGTGACCTCTGACCTCTCCAGACTGATGTTGGCAGCTTTGACTTTGCGCAGCTCCTCCTGAACCAGCTGTTTGGCTCTGATCTCTGCGTCCAGAGCCGACTGCAGCTCCAGCCGAGCCGACATATCCAACTTCTGACTGCGACGCACCTTCCACAGGGGGTCCTACGGAGGGGCAAGGTGGGAGGAAAGGAGGAAGGGAGGTGGTATGAAGGAAGGAGGAGACAGACAGAGACAGTCCCACAGTCTGTGTTAGTGGTGACATCATCTGGACCCAGCCCAGCCCACATCACGATACCATGGCAACACCACCAAGGCATTCCCCTTCGTGCTAAAAACAGATGGAGCAGCAGCCAATCACAGCAAACAAAGGCATGAATGATGTCACTGATGTTGCTGTAGGAGATGTGACATCATGGCATGGTCCTACCCCTCCCCTGACCACAGGGTTTGATCCTGGAACTCCTTAAACGCCCCCATGGATTGTTGGGCTCACCCTGGAACCACCTCAGTTTGGCAACTTTACAGTGTGTTACAAGCTACATTTTATGTTGTTTACCAAGTTTGAGAGGTTGTATTATAAAGTTTGTTACATCTTATGTGCGTTAAGGCTTGTCTACCTCAAAGCTGATTCATTTTTACAACTTTAAATGTACATTAGTTTACATTTCCTGTTTTGTTTACCTAGTTTGAGAAGTTTTTATTATAAAGTTTGTTACATCTCACCAATGTTAGGTCGTCTACCTCAAAGCTGACTGAGTTTATATTCCTAATATTAACATCTTACTGGTGTTGTCAGTATATACCAGTTGATTTTACTAGCTTTTTTATTTATTATGAATCAAGGTGAGATAATTCCTTTATCCTTATTTATTTTTATGTTTATTTTTTCCAGGACAATTTTGATTCCCCACAACACATTTTTCCCTTAAAAATGTCCAGGTTTTCAGGACCTTGGCGGTCCCTGATGTTGATACTGGATCCTGACCTGGGTCCCTACTGTGTGTGTTCTTCCAAAAAATGTGTTTTTGCTGCAGAGTGAGGGCATTTTTTGTAAAGTGAGGACATTTTGGCTGGCCCTCACTTTATGAAACACCTTTTTGAGGATTAAGACTGTTTTAAGGTTCAGGATTGAATTCAGGTTAGAATTAGGTTTGGTGTTAGGCATTTAGTTCTGATGGCTAAGGGTATGGGGCTAGGGAATACATTATGTCACTGAGTGTCCCCATAGAGATAGAAGTGTGTGTTACCAGAGGTCTGGGTACCAGGCTGGAGCTGCGCATTGTTTCCAGCTCTTCCGTCATCTTGGTGGCCAGAGCCTGCAGGTAGCCTCGAGCATCCTTCTCATCGCTCACCCTAAACACAACAGACACGTCAGACACAGAACTAGACCACAGAGCTGGACCACAGAGTCGCTGGTTCAGCCTGACTCACCACTGGATAATCTCTGCGATCTGAGCCTCCCAGTGAGCCACACTCTCCTTCTTAGATGACACGTCCTGAAGCTCGTCCTCCAGCTGTCGATTCTGAGCGGTCAGTTTATCGACAAACGAACACAACTGCCAGGACAGGACAACGACTGTTAGTACTAAGCTGGCACAGAGACAGTAGCAGTACTGCATGAAGGAGCCCTGTAAAATCACAGTGGTATCTGTTTTACTACAGTACACGGTGTCACCTTGTCAGTCTCTGCTGTCAGTTTACGGTTTTCTTCTGTCAGCAGGTTTTTCTCTCGTTCATATTTCTCCTTCAGAGCAGCAACAGCCTCGTCTATCTCCGTTTGTCTACAGGGGACACAAAGAAGCCTGGTTCAGGACTCACCCGCCCCCGTTAATAAACCTGGTTCAGGACCCACCCGCCCCCGTTAATAAACCTGGTTCAGGACTCACCTGTCCCTCTTAGCCTTGTCCAGCTTGCCTTGGACCTGGACCAGCTCCTTGTTGGTGGCGAGCTGTGCAACTTCGAACTCCTGTAGGTCTTTGCAAAGGTTTTTGATCTCGGAGGAGTGGGCGGAGTCGCGCCTCAGCAGCTCCTCCTCATAGAACCGGACCTTCTTATCGAGCTCTGCCTTCAGACGGGACAGCTCCTGCTGAGACTCTGTCCCCGCTGCTGCTCCCTGACCCTGCTGAGACTGAGACCAAGACCAGAACCATGATATCTTTGTGAGGCCCAGTTTAGGTTTTGTGACGATGGCAGTGGGCACTTGGATGGCTATCAACTAGATGTTATTAATCTGCACCTTTAACTCAGACTCTGTTCCGGCTGCTTTTAAACATCCGGCAGTTCAACCTTTGTTGACAAAACCAAATCTTGTCCCCGCACATTGTCTCTCATTTTAGACAAACTGTCATTTCCTTCTAAAATATTAGAGAAGATCAATTTTATTTAGCTCATAACTTTTTCAGAGAAAAATTTCAGTCTGGCTTTGCTGACAGCGCTCAGTGCTGTACATTATAAATGTTCATGCACGATGTGGTTTCACCTGCTGCACCTGCACAGTGCGTGTTTGACAAATGCAGTGAGACAAAAATTTGATCTCATAACATTAGATTATACTTTTGGGGAAGGGTGAGTAGTACAGCAGTACAAACACTTCTGTGTGACCTCTGACCTTGAGGCTCTGCAGCTCCGTCTCCAGCTGTTTGGAGTAAACTTCGCTGTGCTCCCTCAGCTTCCTCTCCTTCGACGCCTCTGCCTTCGCATCGTCCAGCTGAGCCTCCAGCTGAGAAACACACAAATCATTTTATTAAATGCTTTTATTATGAAATCCCACCCTCTTCCTGTGCTGTTGGCTCTTCTCTAAAAACCACAGACTGCTCCTTTAGAGCTGCTCCTGGTGGAAGTAAAGCATGTGATGGTGTTTGTCACCCTCAGATGGAGAACAGCAGGAACTACACCTGTCAGGACTCCTACCTGTGGTGTGGAGTCTCCTCTGCATCAGGGACAGTTAAGGAGATCTCATCTTTAACTGCACATAACAATGGTCTGTACAACCAGAGGAAACGCCACACAAGCTCTTATTTTATTGAGTTAAAACAGGTTTATTTTATATTTACACACGGGGAGACTAGTAATTTATAATCTGAGCATGAGACGAAGTCTTAAACCAAGGTCTTTTTTCAGACTTTTCAAACACATCTGACAGTATAAGCATAAAGCATAAACTTTATTGACAAGTATTTAAAACATACAAAGGAATTCGACTCCAGCTCAATGGCCACCAATATGCACAACATAAAGACAGAATAGATAAATACAAAAAATATTTACAAGTTAAAAGAGCAACATGGACTGGCTGTTCATGAGTTTAATAACCTGGGGGAAGAAACTGTCAGTCTCCGTACTCCTCCTGTATCAGTGAGGTTTTAAAGTGACCCTCCCTCTGCTGATGTGCTCAGAAAGCAGCTTGTAAGTGTGTGCTGAACTATTTCATCAAGCTTTATATAATCAGCTTAATATAAATTGTAATCAATGGGACAGATACTTGTCAAGCTTTGGAATTTCATTAGTATGACTACAACTGGGCCACTGCTGCTGGTACTGCTGGGTTTACTAGTACTGCAGCTAATACCAACACTAAAGCCCCTTAAGGCAAATCTGTGATTTGCAACAATGGACTATACTAATTAGATTACTACTGTGCTTATACTACCCCACCCTCCTCCTCACCTCCTTACGGGTCTTTTCAGTCTTGCGAATGTCCTTTCTCATGGCATCCAATTTCTGTAGGAGTCCGTCCATCTCCTCCTCCTTGTCGCGAAGCTGGCGGGACAGACGCTGCTTACAGGAGCGGAGCTCAGCCATTTTCTCCGACAGCTCAGAGAACTCCTGCAGGGTCAGCTTCCTCTGAGTGTGCGCCTCCTTCAGCTCCTTCGTCTGGCTCCTCAGACGCTCCAGAGACTCAGACAGCTGCTGCTCACAGGAGGAGAGGAAGTGTTTCAGTGTACAGGTCACATGTCCTTGTGAGGTGGAGGCTGTGTCCCATTTTAATGACTGGTCCCAGTGTGTCACAATAAACCCAGGAGCCATGAAAATAAAGATCTGACCATGATGGAGAAGAGACGACATTCTCAAACCAAACTAAGTTTTAAAGTCCTTATTTGGCCAGAACAACAGATTTTGCCTGCTGAGACCGACTAAAGGTTTTTAATACATCTGCACTTCTCACAGCAACTCTTCTAGATCTCTAAGGGCCTAAAACGTTTGGCCTGATTAAAAGACCTGATCCCAACAAAACCTGATCCGGTTAGACCAGACATGGCAATAACTGAACCATTATGAACAACTGGAGGATCAGAGCTGGTGCACCTGCAGATTCAGATCTACTGAGGTGCCAGAGACCAGCACCAGGACATCATCCTTCACCTGTCCCAGGGTGTTCGCCTGTCTGTCCAGGTGTGTTAGTGTGTCACTGCGTATCAGTACTTGCCTTGTTGACGTCATCCTTCTCCTGTCTCAAGGTCTTCACCTGCTTCTCCAGGGTCTTCAGTTTGGAGGCGGAGCTCTCATAGTCCTGTCTGAGTGTGACCGCCTCCTCCAGCTGGTGCTCCAGCCTATCAGAGTCTACGACAGCAGGGGGCAGGGCTTACTCCCCTGAGGCAGGTCGAACGAAGACCAAAAACTAAACTGGTGGTATTACTACAACTGTGCTAGTTTTACTAATACTGCTACAAGTGCTAAAACTACTAGTGCTACTATTTAGGACTGGTACTACCCTTTTACTTGTACACCTATTGGTACCAAGTCTAGTATTCTTACAACTACAGCGATAATACTCCAGGTGTTAAACTACTTGTGTTACTCCGAGCTGCACTACTGCTGCTACTAGCTGTGATACCACTGTTGTTACAAGTACTGCAACTGTGACTGGTACTAACAATGCTCAGGCTAATACTGTTGATTCGCTAATACTTTACTAGTACTGCTACTTATACTAACATTTTCATTACTACAACTGTACTCTTACTACTAGCAGTGATTCTAATGGCTTCTTCTGTACCACTTCTAGTACTAAAAATATTAATACTACTACTGCTCTACTAGTTTCGTCGCCTGGTACTAATACTGACAATATTTCGTGCTTCGCCTGGTACTAATACTGACAATATTTACTGTTAGAACCTTTACTGTTACTAGTAAAACTGCTACTATAGCCAAAACATTTCCTTTTACATACTTTAATAAAGTGTGATTTAATTAAACGGTAACTACTTCTAAAACAAATATGACTTGTATTGACACTAGTCATACTCCTACTACCTGCCAACTTCTTCTTGAGCCGTTCGATCTCCTCATTCAGCTTCTTGATCTCTTTGTCTCGGGTCATAGTTCCTCCACGAGCCGGAGCCTGCAGGGCCTGAGTCGACTCTACAGGAACACAAAGTTCAGAAGTCCGAGTACTACACTATACTGTATATACAGTAATGTGACTGAGGTACTACCTGTACTACAGAAAGTACTGGAACGTGACTGGAGCATTACATGTACTACAATCCTGGAATGTGACTGCCAGTCTCACCCTGCAGTTTACGGTTCAGCTCCTGCTTCTCCTGCTCCAGTCGGCGGATTGTCTTCTCAAACGCCTCCACCTCCTGCCCTGCTCCTCCTCCATGCCTCTCTTCCTGCCGGAGGCTAAGTCCCGCCAAGCCGATGGTGCTGCGGTCAGAGAAACAGCTGTCGGTGGTGTAGGTGAAGCCGACAAAGGGAAGGTGCTGACCAGTAAAACCAGTGTGAGACACTGGAGGGCAGATGTCCTGCAGGAAAAACACAGTTAGTCTGGAGGACATCGTTACAAGGACCCGAAAGACTAGAGTCTGGACCACAAAGACTAGAAGCTGAACCAGAGAAACTAGAGACAGGGACTTAAACAGTTTGTACTAGAGAGACCGACTGCGGAGTCTAAAAACATGAAACAGCATCTAAATCAACATGAGGCGAGTGTAATTTTAGTTTTCAATAACAAGTTTCAGTAAAAGCCAGTCTGACTAGTGTACAATGGGAACACTGGTACAATTTGTCTCCAAATGGTCTATAATGGATATTTTGTTTCCCTGTCCTGGTCCTGCCGTGCTCACTGGGTTCTTGAGGACGTCGTCATCCACGTCAAAATTGGAGGTGTCAGTGGGTGAGGACACGTCCGGGATGTAGGGGGCCTCTGCAGACCGGATGTTGTCCCAGTCGATCCCGCTGAAGAACGGGTGGCTCTTGAAGTCAGAGATCCCATTGAGGCCGAGCCGACGTTCCCTGGAGCACAGCAGCCGCTGGATCAGATCCTTGGCATCCTCGGACACGTCGGCCACATGGGAGGGGAACTGAAAACGCTCCTGGAAACAAAATAAAACCCTGAGGCTTCATCTAGAGTAAAGAGGACAGCAGAAGGAGGAGAGACAGACAGGCAGAGCTACAGGCTGCGGGATAATGAGACAGAAATGGAGAGCAGGACATCCACCCACCAAGGGACCAGTTCAGATATAGAAAAGAGGAAGTAGGCTGAGAGTCTGGAGACAAACAGATAACCTGGAAACAGCAGCAGAGGTAGAAGAGAAACTGGGACTGACACACTCGAAGAAGCTGATTCCAGCTCTCAGGAGATGGGAGGACAGACAGATTCTCCGGTTTGTTGTCTGTTCATAAATTATCTTGAGTCATGGTGGTTCAAAGTTTTACACATAATACAATCAGCCTCTGATCTTTTCATTTACAGGGTTAGGGCTAGTTAGAGTCATCTTGTTTCAAGGTTCTTTCACCTAAATGAAAAGTTAAACTGGACATTTATGCTTTGTAAAACCTCGATAAGCCTAAGTTTCCACTGCGGACATTTAAACCTGTAAACTGGTCAAATGAAACCTATTAAATCCACAGGAGACCAACAGACTGAACAGGTCCTGGTGTTTCTGACCTCATGGTTCATGATCTTGCCGTAGGTTTCCACCAATGACTCAGCGTAGAATGGTGTTTCTCCGTACAGCATCTCGTACATACAGACCCCCAGAGACCACCAGTCACACTCCGGTCCATAGCGGCCCATCCCGTCCTCCATCGCCTGCAGAATCTCTGGGGAGATGTAGTCCGGAGTGCCCACCGCCACAGAGGACTGGACCTGCACCGACACCACAGGAAGAGCCCTTCAATCTGACCCTGAAGAGCTAAACTAGACCCCAGTAGCAGTTAGCAGGTGCCAATATAATACCTAAAACCCAGTTACTAAACTAAACCCAGGCAGCTTTAACATAAACTCAGTTCAAAGTTAAATTAAACCCTGCTGTGAAACTAAACTTGGTTCACTTTAAACACTGGAAATGATTACAGTCTGTGGTTTACCGTTCCGTCCTCCATCATGCGGAGACAGGACCCAAAGTCAGCGAGGCGGATGTGTCCGTTGACGTCCAGCAGGACGTTGTCTGGTTTAATGTCTCTGTAAAAGACAAACAGATCCCAACCTATCCATCAGCAGCACACACAAATCACCCATCCAGGTTCTCACACCTGCATCAGGCTCGACACTCAGTCACTGGCAGCTGCCAACAGCAAAGTCATATTGAAAGGAACATTTGTGTTGTGGTCAGGGCTCTGAGTGAAAAACTAGCTGTATACACAAACCGGAGCTGCACAGAGGAAAGGAACGCAGCTGAGTTTCTACACAGAGGAAAGGAACGCAGCAGGAAAGGAACGCAGCTGAGTTGAGGAAAGGAACGCAGCTGAGTTTCTACACAGGACGTTAAGTGGACACTGAGAATGCTGAACAGGATATAACTACACTTCCCAGAGGACACTGCTGCCAGGAAGAGACCACTTCCTGACACAGGGGAGGAAACCGAGATGTACACTTGAAAAGTCACACACGCTGACTTTTATATTTGTATCTTAAAAGTAATCTGGTGTTGTTACCATGGAAACAGAGGCCCTGCCCAGCTAAGGTGGAAAGCCCACCAGTCTACACCCAGTATAACCAATATGACCATACCTGTGGATGTAGTGCTGCTGGTGGATGGAATGGATGGCGAGCACCATCTCTGCAGCGTAGAACTTGGCCATGTCCTCTGGAAGACGATCCTCAAACTTACTGAGCAGCGTCAGCAGGTCTCCGCCCACATAGTAATCCATTACCAGGTACTTAAGTACAACACAGGTACATCTGTTACTACCAAAATCATCCCCAGGTACTGCAGTACAACACATCAAAATACATGACCAAAAACAATAATGTAATATTACAACCAGTACCACAGTAACAGTTATATTAGTACTAACCAGGTAGTTGTCATCCTGGAAGGCATAGTGCAAACTTGTGATCCACTGACTGTCTCCTTTCACCAGGACATCACGCTCTTCACGGAAACACGCCGTCTGCACAGTACACATTGCACATTACATACTACACACTAGCATAGCACTAGTCCATGTTACAGATGCAGCCACCTTAAATTGCCAGAAACATTTTAAGAGATGGGGCGACTGAACACGCAGGCTATAAAACCGTAATGTGTACGTTAGGACAGTTCTGTGATACCCGGCCATTAAACCCTCGTTCTGCCTCTTGTGTTTTAATGAAGCTGCATAGACAGTATCGTTTGCAAAGTCCACTTAACCGTGGGGTTGTGACAGCAGCTGTGTGATACATCAGGTTTCAAATGAATGTTCACATAAGTTTTCTTTTTCCTATGTATTATTTCTTAACGTAACTGAAGACGGCTAACCTTGCCTAGATCTTTGACTAGAAATGTGAAACCCAGTGTACAGGTAATTTTTTATCAGGGGCAGTAACTGTACGATAAAGATTATGGTCAGACAATTCTACTGTATAAACCGTGGCCTAAACAAAAACACAACTCTGCCATGTGAACACAGTACTTCAGGCAGTCACGCTCTGGTCAGTGCGCTTGAGAACAAAGCGCCATCTAATGGTGACACCATGCAAATCAAAGAACAACTCTTTCACGGGGGTGTTTAATGTGGAGTCTAAACCCTTATCAGGCAACAGAAGACGGGGTGCTTCCGGAAGGCTCACAAGACCTGCATGCCAGCTGCACGCCATTCAGCTGGGAAGCACAATTCTGAGTGGCAGCATCTGTAAATACAACACGATGACGAAGCCCACCTCGGCTCTCTTTAACATCTCCCACTTGTTGAGAATCTTCATGGCGTAAACTCTCTCAGTGTGCTTCATCTTCACCACGGCAACCTGAGAGAGAGGACAGGAGACAAAGATGGGGGGGGGATACTTCAGCAACATCACCTCCAGGTAAAAACATGTTCAGAGACAGGAGACATCCTAACAGGTATTTGCAATTCAGAGATCTGATTGGCTGAGACAGAGCTCCTCCCAACCTGCTTTACCCGACCACAGCCAGAGTCTGTTTTGATATGAAATACCTGTCTGATCCAGCCATGTTTAGGGCTCCGCCCTAAGAGCTCAGTAAAAGACTCACCTATTGACAGCGTGAACTTGAACCTGTCTCCACATTTACAGTGAGCTGGTCTGGACTAACGCAGACCAGTCTGGTCCTGGTCATGTGTTTGTTCTGTGGGCTACTGTGTTTGTGAGGATCAGGCTGAGTGTCAGTCAGTCAGGACTGTCCTCACAAACACAGTAACGCAGCCTGGTGTGTGTGTTTATATCCCGAGGCTGCAGGCAGGTGTGGCTCAGACACACCTTTCGTCAGGTATGTGGACAATGTACCCACACACACAGATAAAGTAGAGTTATGTTAAGAAGAAAGCATCAGAAAGCACTACGCCGCAGTTAGCACACATTTTATTACCCACAAACCCCCTGTGAAAGTGTGTAAAAACATCTGGTTTTCTGTCAGTGTCTTGCCCAAGGACACTTTGACATGTACGCCTCCTTAGTAGACCAGGGGCTGCCTCCAACTCCTTAGTAGACCGGGGGCCCGCCTCGCTAAGAGTCTGGGGACTGAATATTGTTTTTCACCGACCAAAACAAGCAGTTCAAAGATTCTGGGTTCTGTTGGGGCTCTCCACTGATTTGCTGCCATTTAGGGGTCTCAGTGTGCAGTCTTAGATTTGTATTTTAATATTTTTACCACAGTCAAAATAATAAAAAAAAATGTTTCAAAATGTGTGAAGAATCCAGAAGCTTTTCTTTGACCAAGCTGTATTTGGTGGTTAAAGGGTCTGAATGAAGACTAGGTGTGAACATGACATGTGGACTTTGATCAGACGGACTGAAATTGCAGCAGTTGGAGACATTAATGATTGACAGCAGCAAGTTGAGTTGTTGCGACACAGTGACTGAACCACGTTTGCGGGTTTCTATTCAACCAAAGTCAAAACATGAAAATAGTCTTGCCTCCACCTCCTGCTGGATCAATATCAGCTGAATGCGTGAGCCGATTCTCCAGCGGTTTCATCAGGATTCATGTATGTCTTATCCACAGTCCTCAGACAACAGCGGGGTATTCCAGAAAACAGGATAAGTGAAAACCCAGAGTTTGTTTGAGGTGAAATGAGGGAAACTTTGGGTTTCTGGTTCCAGAAATGGAGAGCATGTTAATTCTGAGTCAGTTACAGCAGTAATTCTGTGAATCTAAACTGCTCACTGGCAGGTTTTCTTCAAGCCCAAAGTTTCTCCGTCTCCCCCCTCCTGAAGAGTCTGAAGAAGCTGTGACAGGCTGCTTTCTCATTCATACAGTCCATAGTGAAGCACAGATCAGAGTATATTATAAGTTTATGTGGGGTGGGGAATCCAGATTAGATAGTAGCCTGATAGCACGTTAACTTGCCTTTACTACCGTGATCACCTTTATGATCATCAGTGTAAAGGACAGTGATCTCACATTTAAATACCAGAAGCCCATTAGACAGCGAGGATTCATCCTCCATTTAGAATAAAATCTCTGCAGGCCATCGATCTACCTTTGACTGACTATGTGGACATGAAGACGCCTCTCGGGCTGTCAGCCTGTTCCACTGCACTGACATCTGTGATGTGTAAATATTAATTTAAAAAAAATAAAAAATTGTGAAGCTTTTAGTCACATGTGACACTAATCCATACATTTTTATTGTGTTATTGGTCACACTTTGAACATTAGCTTATGGGCTAACGGCTAACTTAGCCTGCTGCAATCTCCCAGCTGTATGACAACATTACTAGATTACATTTTGGATCAGTCAGTAATCAAACCTATACCTACTATTGATTGCTGGCTGATGTAAATTTTCTACATCTGTTTAAATAAAGTCAAAGGAATAGTTCAGGATTTTTCAAGTTGGTGTTAAAACAATATTGAGGTATCCCCATGTACATGAGAATAGGTCACTTCTCCTGCTCTCCACACTGACCATGAACATTTGCAGCCGCAGGTTCGAATGGAAAAAATAAGGGCCAAAACACACAACACATTGAGTAAAAAAATAATAAAAAAATAAAAAAAATCCCTCTGAAGTTATTCTCAGGCTCAAATGCAGCTGTCCCGCTGAGCTAATTCAAGTCAAAGTTAGTCTATTTAAAACAAATTTCCCCTTTTTGATTCCCTGGTTAGCAGTTCTATGCTGAGGAGCAGCGGAGGGATATGTTCCAGTAGTTGCTTGTAGGTCTGTTGTCGTTGGCCAGTGTTTACAATCCATTTGCACAGAGTTAACATGGAAATGAGTTCACCAGTAAAACCTACTGCTGTGTTTTATTTCTGCCTCATCTGTTCTGCACGTGAAGGAGAACACGGTTCATCCATCCAGTGTGATTTGTAAGAAACAAGCAATAGTCCAAAGGTTCCTCAGATTTGTCCTGAGAGATCCTGAAAGGACCAAGTTGTCCCGGATAGCAATCAAAATGACCATAAGCACATCATTTACAAAGCTGAGAGAGCTCCAAGTCTCTAACAAGGCCACAGTGATGACAGTCAGCAGCTCACCTACAGTGTGACAGTGACACTGACTCAGCTATATAAACTACTGTTAGTCTATACTATTAGACCTCACATGGTCATGTGATGATAACCAAGACACAGCAATATTGATTATGTGTTTATAACGTATCCCTCCGCCACAGCTCAGCAAGATACTGTCCAGGGAAATAAAACAGAAATATGTCTTAAATAGACCAACGTCAGTGTGAGTTTTTAAACAGAACAAGAGTTGTGTATTTTGGTCCTTATCTTTTTTACAGCATAGTGACGTTCCAGGTGGAAACATTCATAGCCAGTGTGGAGAGCAGGAGAAGTGACAACAACTAAGATCTATTCACGTGTACGTAGTGATACATTGATATTGTTTTAACAGCAACTTGAAAAATTCCAAACGATTCCTTTAAGTAAAGAAAAATACCAAGTTCCAGTGGGAACCACAGAGGAAGAAGACAGGAAGCTGTGCGTAATAAACAGGAAATGCACAGACACATTTAAGTGAAAACACTTCCTGTCACTACACAGGACGGATGGAGAGGGACGTCCAATGACATACAAGTGTGTCCACAAGTTCAGACCCATGTACCAGGGACGAAGACTGTAGGACAGGATGATCAGAGACCTATAAATAGTTTGGGGCAGACAGTACTAACTTCAGTATTAACACTACTTTGTGGTTTTATCACTTGACCCAACGAGAAAATCTCAGACCATTTTAAATCAGCTCCCACAGAAAGAAGAAAAACGCTGCTAATCACAGCTTCCTGTTCATGTTTGACGTCCTCTGTTTTCCTGGAAGCTGCTCTCTGGACAACGTCCTGTCTTTACCGAGGAGAGTTTTCACCCTGTATAAACAACCCACCGCTGAGCAGGAGGAAACCAGGGTCTGGCAACCAAAACTGCTCTTTATTTAACCTGAGCACAGAGACCAAAACTAGTCTTTATTAACCCCGAGTTCAAAGATCAGAAGAAAACCTGATGTCAGGTGTGTGTGTGTTAGAGGACAGGAAGCCTAACCTCTCCAAAAGCTCCTCGTCCAATCACCTTCAGCATCTCAAAGTCGTCCCTATGCAGCCGCATGTCCTTCACCGTTGTGGTGAATGGTTTCACTGAGGAGACAAGAAACAACACACACTGTTAGAAACATGCAGGTCACAGATGTATTACAGAGATAATACAACGTCACACACATAGGCTACTATGGAGAAGTAACCACAAATATGTTGATGAAATAAAAATACTACAGACCTACTACTACTACTACTAAACATGTAGCATCAGGAGTGTAGAAACACAGGTAGTGAATATACACACAGAGTTTTCCCTGCTATAGAAAGGTTTAGGTGCAGCACCTCAGTGTTTCTGCAGAGAACCTTAAGAATGAACACACAAAGGCCTTTAGACAACATATCAGAAAGTCAGTGAGGGTCTGCAGAGCCCCCCAGGGCGAGCACAGCCCAGTGGGCTGTCTCCTTAGTTGACCAGCCGTTCACCCAGCTGCCATCTGCACTTGGATGAGGTACGTCTCTAGCGGCTCTTCCCCACTGTAGTGTGGCAGTTTCGCAGAACCTCGCTAACTGGCCCCTTGCACCATGATGTCACCTCCTGGCTGGACTGCCGTTGGGGTGGTGACTGGTGCTGGAGCCCTTGGTGCAGTCAGGGCCATCTGCAGCTCTGAGCCCTCCGGCCAGTGAATCAGCCCCGGGGTCTTTGCCAAGCTGCAGTGTTGGTGATTGAGCACAGTTCCCACGGCCTGTCAAGTGGGAAGCCCCGGCTCCATCAGCAGCCTCCTTCTGGCGGGCTCTCATTGTCGGTGTGGTAGCAGGCAGCTGCAAGGACTTTCTAGGTCATGCTCCCTCTTGCTTCTACTGCACAAGAAGTTCTTCAAACTCCCACTGTGACATCATTATCTGATTCCACATCTGACACCAGTGTAACACAAGCTAAAGATAAACTGAGTTGGAGCCAGACCTAGATCTGTCTTTTTGCATGAGCTCTAAGGGCCACAATACACAACCCCACCCAAGAGTAGCCACTTTTAATAAGAACACACACACCTATTTACAAGTGGCTGGAGCCCATTAGTTAGAAATCTCAGTCATGGTGTCTCAGCCCAGCTGGCCTGGTCCCACAATCCGTAACAGAAGATGAACATAACAATAACTCAGGAACCCAACCCCCCCCCCTACGATATTTAGGTTAATCTTATATCAATGTAGTGCCATGCGTAGCACATGTATTTGCTCAGTCCCTCCGTGCACTGCTCTATTTCTCTCGCACACAAACACATTACAACTAATCTGTGAACAGCTCCTCCTCTCCGTGTTTGCTTTTCTTAACACAACGCTGTCAGTCACAGAGATACAACTCCTCTAATATTTTATTAGCAAGCTAGTAAGGCTAGCTAGGCTAATGTTAGAGTAAAGCTGATGCCGAGGTCAGCGTGGATGTATATGGACTGCTCTGCAAGTGGATATACTTAATGCTAGTACATAAACTCTGATGCTGAATGTTTGCCCCCTCAGTCCTTGGGAATACTGAAAAAACACATGTGGGAAAGCGATTATTAATGATCCAACTGATTTGTTTAAAATATTTAATGGCACTGCTGAAACAGCAAGACAGGGTCAGGAAGAGATGGCTGAAGAGAGAGATGTAGGGGGAGGGCAGCGGCCAACAAGCTGCTGCTGTGGGAGAGCTAGTGCAGGAGGGACAGGTCATATTAACAGCACAGAGGCAGCCTACTATAGTATTATTATTATAGCCCATTTACTTTTAGAAATTATGAAAGCCAGACCCCAACACTGCAGTAGCAGTTTTGAACGAGGTACAATGTGTTCTTCAATCTGATTCGCTTAAACTGAGGGACTCTAAACCGTCTGTTGGAAGGCAAAATAGATTTTCTCCATTTAGGGCATGTGAGGAGTCAGAAGTGATATTTTTGGCAAGTCCAAGCACGCTTTTTGATGGGCTGCTAAACACAATGCTTCTGGAGGTTGGCCTATTATCTTTGAACAGATGCAGGTCTGATTGAACAGCTTAGATTTGAGTTTCACTGACAAGTTGTGAAACCAAGAACTGCTACAATACAGCATGACAGTCTGGATAACTGACTTAAAAAAAACAGGAGGAGGATCTCATTACTGGTTCCAATTTATCTAAACCTGCAAAGAAAACTGATTTGTTGCTGAATCTTTCTGCAGATAAATTCTGTATGAGGGGTCCGTTTGCCTGTTAACGCACATGACAACCAGTTGTACCTCCACAACCACACTGAACACGTAAAGTGCTGGATGGTAATCTTCCTACAGCTCGATCAGGATAAAACTCAGGTGCTCATGTTCAGCCCTGCAGATGCCACAGTCCACTTTGCTGGGCCCTGTCACTCAAAGTTCACGTCTGAATCTCTGTGCTGAATCTGGTTACAACTGTGCTCAGTACTGCTTTCATTTTAGATCACGTCAAAACTAAAGTCATTCCTGACAGACAATACTTAATGTTTTTATTTGCTCTCACATGGGTTACTGTAGGAATCAGGTGGCCTGATCTCGTCGGTACTGGCCAGCAACACACTTGGTTGGTCCCCAGGAGGGTCAGTTCCTCCTGGACCTTCAGGTCTTTACCAGCACACAAGGTCTGCTGTCTGAAGGCTTTAAAGACTGTTGATATGTTGACCAAGTTACTTTCAGGTGTTGGCTGGCACCGTCACCCATCGTCTGAAAGCAAGCTCTGACAAGGGCCAAGTCCACATCAGTCCTCCCTGCAGGTTTATGTTCTACTGTAGAAATCTCTGCAGGTTTCATCTTGTCTTCATTCCACAGACACTCAACATGAACCCAGCGGCAGCATGGATTAATAAACAACCACAGACTGAACCACAGCCTAGGTCCTGCTGGGTCCCCTCAGTTCTGAGGAACCCAGACCCAACCAGGTACCAGAACTGGGGTTGGTCCTAATTCTACTTGGTGTAGTTGGTTTGGGTTTGGTCTGGGGCTTATTGCTGCATGTCTCAGGTTTGTGTTTCAGAAGGTCCACTACCTGAGTGGATCCAAATAGAAAGGAGACAGACATCTGGTATCAGGTGTGTTTGAGGTGACACAGACAAATGATCTTCAGACCTCAACTCAGTTTCATTCTGACTCGAGATTACTTTAAGAAAATCAATCATCTACAGGATTTCTGCTGTGAAATAAAAACTTTGATCCACAGACAGGAGGTGGAACTAAAACCAAAATAGGTCTAGAGGACTAATGTAGCCTCCTGTTCCAGACTGCAGAGGAGCAGCCCCTCCCTCCTCTACACAGAGACCGACAGAGAAAATACAGTGGAGAAACAAAACAGGACGGTCAGCATCAACCCCAGAGACTAGAGCTGTAATTCTTAGCCCGAACCCGACCTGACCGTCGTGCACCCGACGGGTTGGGCTTAATTTCTATCATTTTTACTCAGGCCGGGCTCGGGCTCGCGCGTTAAATGAGTGGTCACGTGATGCGTTTCAATTAGCGTGAGAAAGATGCATTGCGAAGAACGAAGATGGATGAGGTGAAACAAAGGCTTGCCTCTGGCGTATATTTTTTGGTTACACCAGCAGCAGCTAAGTCTGAGGTGTGGCAACATTTTGAACATGTGCATAATGAGAACAATGACCCAGTGGGTTATGTAATTGATTATGTGAAACAAAGTCTTGCCTTTGGTGTATATTTTTTGGTTACACCAGCAGCAGCTAAGTCTGAGGCGTGGCAACATTTTGAACATGTGCATAATGAGAACAATGACCCAGTGGGTTATGTAAAATGCAAGAAATGTAACGTTCTCTTAAAATACGACAGCAAAACGACAGGGAATTCCTCGCTGATAAGTCATGTTGAGCGATGTTGTGTGCGTGTGCCGTGCGCACATTTGAATAATGTCGGGCTGTAAACGGGTTCGGGCTGTCAATCAAAAATGTACTTGTCGGGCTCGGGCCGGGCTCGGGCCGAATTCTGTGGCGCTTGGGCCCCGTCAGGCCTAACTTTTCAGGCCCAATTACAGCAATACCGGAGACTACGCTTGGTGATGGTAAAGGGAAGCATGGGGTGTACCGCTTGTTAGGCTCCCATAGTGAAAACACAGCAGAAAGTTAGCTACTGGGATAACAACTGTGTGACAAAGGCTGTAATAATGGCTGGCTCATTGTATTACCCCAATAGCAATAGCCTTAGAGGGCTGAAGTTGGTTCAGTGCAATTGCATGAGCACAAAGACAACATAACATGACACAGACAAGATATCACATTTTGTGGGCAGAAATCAACTAAAATGAGGGCATAATATATAGCATATGCACAAAGCTAATCAAGCTTTGGCAGTGCTGCACTGTACAATATATCAACAGAATGGCGCCATGACCAGCAGCAACAGGAGAAAAAGCCTAGCTAGAGACAGCAGATTACTACTGTTCATCAGTGGTACAAAGTAAAACGGCTAAAAATAAGAGTTTCTGATTGAGCTCAACTTTACCGGTCTAACAAAAAGCACTTAAGCCTTTTAAAAACCTGGGAAAACCCTGAATGATTTTGCGTTTGCTTTAGCAGAGAGATAAGCATAAGAATAAACTTTATTGTAAAGTATTATCAAAAATACAAGGAATTTGACTCCCTTGTATCAAACCAAGCGCTCCCTTTCCTCACTAAATTTCTGCCTTTCTACCACAACTGCTATTCAGCAATGGGTGTATATGGAAGATAGAGAAGTATATTCACCAAAGAAAAAAAATGAGGATCTTATCTCATCTCATAATTATGAGATCAGGACCTTTTAATTATGAGTTAATGCAGGGGTTAGAAAGCTGCAGAACTTGCCTGAAAATCACGTCTTAACGAATTCTTTAGAGTACATCCAATAGAGCATGGCAAGAGTGAACTATTAATAGCAATTTTGGTATAATTAGTGCTCCAAAACAAACAAATGTAGACTATAAACAGGCCTCAAAGTTGCTGCCTACAGTCTAACTCACTACATGTACTGAGCAGAAGTTGGAGAGTTTAAGAACCTGCTTGAGAGATTTTTAAGATTTCTTCAGTATTAACCTAATTCACTCAGTACAAACAATAGCACATGGCAGACATGAACTGATAACAGTTAAACTGGCATACGTCGTGTTCCAAAATGTAAACACATATAGGTTAAAAATGCTGCCCAAGCTGCAGCCCACAGTAACTCACATCTATGACAACATTGTACTTGCTGCTTTCACCACTACACCTGCCAGATTTAGACTGCACGTGTGGGCGTCTGTCAATCGGAGAGGGTTGCATAGGTGTTGCATGAACGTTAAAGTTGTAACTAGGGGGTGCTCAAGCAGCAAAGTACAGAAAAGAAGTAGTCAGGAAACAGAGATGTAGTGATTTGGACCCAGGCTTGAAGCTGTTACAATTTTCATCCTAGGACTGGTATTATGCCTCCTTATCGGGTGTTGGCATTTTTTCAAAGAGAGTAACTACTTAGATTAAGAAGAGGTGGTCAGTCTAGCCAAGTGATACCAGTTTGCCCAGACATTTCCAGAGATGCAAGCACCCACTAGCTGACCAATAGCAGGCAGCTACGTCTTGGTGCGAGTTGGATCAACCAATCGACGTACGGGACACCCAACTTTGCACAACACGTAGTTGAGATTTTGGTATGCGCATCCGACCAAATGCAACCATCAGCAACCTACGTTTAGCCATAATTACATAACAATTTTCTCACGTTTCCTCTGTGTGATTCACTCGACCGCTCCTTGCCCCGCTCTCTCTCTCTCTCTCACACACACACACACACACACACACACACACACACACAGCCAACTGAACATGTGTGAGCAGCTCCTCCTCTCCGTGTCTGTCTTTAACACAGCACACACAGATCCAACTCTCCTAGTAAGTTATTAGCAGGCCAGTAAGGCTAGCTAAGCTCAGTCCGTGGAGCCAAACTCTGCAGGTTCTGGACTAAACCACAGCTGAAGACCTCCAATCAATCAAGAAGACAATCAGTCACTGATATTAATAATCAATGGCCGCAGCTCTACTCTAATCATATGTTATTGATCGTTAGATGAATTATCAGTTTCTGATTATTACTTATGCAACACTGTGAAGACAGGAAACAAGCTGATAATATCACCAATCAGATCAAGTATCAGTGATCAAGCAATCACTTCATCAGTTATTGATCCGAGTCACACTGTCAACTGCAGTAACCGGCCCAGAACAAACAGGACAGGACAAGCTGGAGTGGGTCAGTGGGTGTTGCAGCAGCCTGTGCTGCGGTCCAGAGACAGAAACATGAACATCTGTTTCCTGTCCACACGGACCCTCAGATTCACCTGTTCTCAGATCAGAGGTCACACCCACACCTAGACCATGATCAGACATAACTGGTGCCTACTGACAGGGTCCTAAGCTGGAAAACGTGAGACATCACATGTAATCCTTAAAGAGAACCCTGATCCTCTACCAAGACCCCAACAGCTGAAACAAGGACTGCGTGATAAACTGTTTTGGGAGTGCGATTTAGATCCCGTTGCGATCTCAGTGTCACGTGACAATGATTCAGCCATGTTTGCATTAGCAGGGAGATCCCACGCATTAAACTAAGCACTCCCTTTTTCTCACTATAACCTACAACAGGAATGCATTACATCACATGACAAGCTGTAGACAGGAAGAGAAGAGTGATTCAACACAAATCCAACATGTTTGACATGGTGAAAGATATTCTGTGCCATTCTGCAACTATTTTTCAAACGCTGTGCTGCCTGCCCTGTTCACCTAGTGTTGAACAGTAGTTGAGGTGGAAATAAATCACTTTGCGGTTATTAGCTGATGCAGCTTAGAGAGGAAAAGGGAGCGCTTAGTTTGATGCAAGGGATCTCACTGCTAATGCTAACACAGGAGAATCACGTCACGGGAAACTGAGATCGCACAGGGATCTAAATCACACTCACAAAACCATTTAGAAACCCCAAAGACCCCTGAACCATCCCCAAACCAGCCTGGAAAACATTCAATACAATCTGGGAAAATCAGGGGTACTTGAAAACCCCCTTGAGGGCTCCTGCATATCCTGGAAATCCCAAGCCTCCTTTATGAGCCTTTAGGGAACCTGGAATCTCCTAAACCTCCTTCATGCCTCATTCTGTGCCCTGGAAAACGCTAAATAAATTAGAAAAATATTAAAGAGAATTAAAATGATATGATGATCCTGGAAGGACTGCAGTCATCTGCAAAACCCTAAGGGGACACAAAAGCACACTCAAGGATCCTATAAACCTCCTGGATGCCTTTAAGGACCACTGCATCTCATTCAGCGATGTCTGCATATCCTGGAAACCCTGTATATTAAACTTTAAGCATGTACTTAAAACTGGGTCCTCCTGACACATTTTACGATGCCTGAACTTCTCCTTGATTCTCTCAGTGAACCCTGGAACCACATATGAAACTCTTACAATTCATTAGAGCCCCATTAAGGTTTTTCAATGGCTCCTCAACCTCCCACTGCCACAGGTCCTAAAACATCTGTCAATGAGCCTTGATATTTCCCTGGAACCCACCGGAAGCCCTCAAGTTTCATCAGAACCAAATTTCAACCCCAAACCTCAGGAGAACCCTTCTGAAACCTATTTCATGGTCTCTCACAAAATCTGAACAGGAGCCTTTCCAGGACGTTTGAAGCCCCCTTGAATCAGAATCACCTTTATTGGCCAGATGTGTTGGACACACCAGGAATTTGACTCTGGTACCGCGGCTCTCAATGTGATTGTACACGAACCTGTCAAGATTTAATAAAAACCCCTCTTTCAAGGAACAAGAACCCCTAAAAGTTCCAGGAACCTCTACAAGGTCCTTGAACCTGCCTGGATAAATCCTCTTCGACCTCCCTGTAGCCCCCTCTCTGTCCCTGGGGGAGCACCGGGTACCGGCTGAGGGGACATTCTGTAGTTTGTTTACGGATGTAAAGGATAAAACCAGGTCCAGGACCAAGTCGAGGTCTTACCCCACTCCAGGAAGTCGGTGATGTGCTTCTCCCTCTTCAGCGGAGAGCTGGAGCACTCGGTGAACAGGCAGAGCAGGAGGTCGAGCAGCGTCTCCACGCTCAGGCAGCCCTCTGCCTTCTGCTCCAGCAGCAGCTCCTCCAGCCGCTTCAGACGGGCCTGAGCCGACATCCTGAGCCGCGATAATTTCCCGCCGCTCCCGCTGAAACTCCCCGCTGCGCAGTCCGAGTGTAAGCCGCCACCGGGGCTCCGCTTCCTGCCGAGTCGTCCTGAGCTCTGCTAACCGCAGCTAGCTCGTTAGCTCCGGGAAAACATTCCCGACATTTTGAGCAGTCTGTTGTCGGTGTGTCTCCGCCGGTTACCGTCGCTGCGTCGTGTTGTGAGCCGTTCTGCCTGCAAAACCGCGTCTGTCCGTCATCCACATCGGCTTTAATCCCAGTAAATCTGGACTTTCCTCTCAGAACTCGGGATATGGGTCAGACCGTCGACTCTCAGGTTGGCCGCCGCTGCTCCATGTCCCCGGGTCGGTGTAACAGCTCCCTGGCATGTCCCGGAGCTCCGGGACCGACTCGGCTGGATCCAAAATGTCCGTCAGCACCGACAAAGAGCGCATGAGAGGATTTTTCGGTGTCTTTAGGTGGACCGCCGGTGTGGCTGGGCAGCGGGAAGCATGAGGGGTTTTTTGTGTGTTTTGAGGGGGCCCGCCGGTGTGGCTGGCCAGCGGGAATATGGCTGAATCTAGATTAGCTGCCCCAAAGCAAGGTGCAGCCTGCCAATATACTTCCTATTACACGGAGTTTCACAATAAAACACAGCACACGTTCATCCAGCTTCTCCCGAGCCACATCACAAAACTTACCTTGTTTACAACAACTGTTGAGTCATTATATTAATTCATTCATAATGAAATGAGCTATTTCAGTCTGTGTTTTGCCCAAAACATAGTCCGGAAACTGCCTTGATCAAGGTCACCAATGATCTATTAATGGCTGCTGATGCTGGTTCTCAACTATTCTTGTCCGGCTTGATCTGAGCACAGCCTTTGACATCGTCTCACATAATATTTTGCTGAACCTTTTAGTTACTATTGGTATTACTGGTATCTTTCTCACTTGGCTCACTTCATACTTCTGACCACACTCAGTTTTTTTTGACTGTATTTGTGTGAACAGTCAAGCCATTTTTAAATAAAAAATACCAAATGTCCTCTGGTTCCAGCTTTTCAATTTGTAAAATTTTCCTGTTTCCTATGAAGCCTATGTTTTATGACAGTAATAATATCTTTATGTTTTTGTACTTCAGGTGTAACAAAACAAGAAATATAAATATAAATCTATCAGTGTAAAGTAGGACATTATAACAGGATTTTTTCATGGTTTTCTGACATTTTATAGCCCAAACAATATATCAAAGACTAGTGAAAATGATCATCACATTGACTGATAGTGAAAATATTCTGAAATAAAAGTTATAATTTTGATTGTTAAATATTAACAAATATATGCAAAAACACAATAGACATGGGCTCTTTTTGAAAACATGATGTATAAACAATCTGATCTTTCTTATGTATAACAAAAAGAAAGATTAAAGAATGTTTCTTTTATATTTTTCATGTTTCTTTAAACTACAACGTGTCAGGTACAGTTCAGTTGGTGTCAAAATACCTGTCTCAGCTGTCATCTGAGCTTAAAATTCTCCTATAACAATATTTAAACATAAGACTAATAGAAGAATTAGCCTGCGAGCGGTGAAAACCTTTTAATGGCATACAACCGTGTAGAACTCTGAGAAATATCAAAATAAATCATGATGAAGACTTTAAAAGTATTTCAAATACTGAATATCTGCCGCTGTTGAAAACAGACCCTTTCCATGCTTTTATTTTGAAGTATGACATCCCGGTATAGGAAGTGAGGACCTGCTGCTCTGTGCTTACGTGACTCACCTGTCTGTCTCTCCCTGTGGAACACCGAGACCCCGCCTTCATACACCGGAAATGCTCCGAATACATGACGTCATGCTGTGATTAACAGGAGCCGGGAGAGACTGGTCGCGCCCTGGTCTGACATCACTTGTATGACATCATCACAGTACATCATGGCGTTTCTTGGTCCCAGTCACGAGTTGACAGAGTCATGAGAAAGTTCAGTGCAGCTTAAGTGTTGAACTCACTGAAGAACTTTGTGTAAAACTATCAGACATGTGTAGCCTATCACACATACTGACTGTGACATTGCATCTGTCACCGTCCATATTTAATGTAGGTTACACTCAATACTAAGCAGATAAATCCTGTTTCATTTGCCAGTCATTGTCATTAGGCAATGTTCCTAATATTCTGACCCTCTCATGTACATAGCTGGGGAAGATAAAAATATAGAGACACCTCTAAATATGATGCAGTCCAGTACAACCCCACCTTTAACTATGACCTCAGGTATAAACACATTGTAGCGCTGGAGGCAGAGAGACACTTGGTGGGATCTCCCAGAATGCTCAAGAGGGGAGCGTCTGGTGGGATCCCCCATAGTGCCCCCCTGGGTGGGCAGTATATAGTTTGGGGTTTTGGTGTGTGTGTTTAGAGTGTGCCTGTGTTCTAGTGTTGCTGTGCGGGTACCTGAGGGGAGAGACAAAAAGACAAAAAGGCAGTGTCTGTCTCAACCACCTTTGGAGGTGTATCCCATTTTGACTTTGGGACTTCTACCCTGTACTTGGCACAGATGTTTCTGTACACTATGCCAGCCACTTGTTATGACGTTCCATGTATGCCCTGCCTGCTAGCATCTTGCACCCCACTGTTATGTGCTGGATTGTCTCAGGGGCCTCTTTGCACAGCCTGCACCTGGGGTCCTGTCTGGTATGGTAGACCCCGGCCTCTATTGATCTTGTACTTAGAGCCTGTTCCTGTGCTGCCATGATTAGTGCCTCTGTGCTGTCTTTCAGTCCAGCTTTGTCCAGCCACTGGTAGGATTTTTCAGTATCAGCCACTTCTTCTATTTGACGGTGGTACATACCGTGTAGAGGCTTTTTCTTTCTTGAGGGGTTCTGCTCTTTCCTTTCTTTTTTTGGATATACATATACATATACATATACATATACATATACATATACATATACATATACATATACAGTATATAGTCATGTATCAGCTATATAGTATATCAGCCATTCTCATCTCTTCACCAACATCTTATTGCTTCTGGTCCTGGGTTGCCAGTTACTTGTTTAAATATTTCCCCCCTCACTTCAGTAACTTTCTGTCATTCAGCTATTTTTGCCCCACTTCAGGTCTCCCCTGTACCCCATTATCCTCTGACCACCCACTGCAGCTGCCCCGGCTCACTCTAAGACACTGTGCTTACTCTGACCTTTCTTCAA